TCTGATTAATTTCCAGAGTTCTGAAAATGTCACTTTTAATAATTTTTTTCCCAGTGTTCTCATTGATTTTACGGAGGATCATATTTTCAGAAGTCCTTAAGCCACCATGCCAGAAGTGCTTCTCCCATGCTGGGTATTTTCATATTCCTATAAATATTCTTCAGCTTTGTTAGGGACATAGGTAGGATACCTGGAAACAGAACAATCCTTTCCAGTCTTCCTTTTAAAATTTTTTTATAGGGAACCAGAGATCTGTTTAGTCTAGGGCTAGTTATTTCCAACAACCTAGGTAAGACCTTTCTCCCTAGTGCCCTATAATGTATGAAGGTTTCCAGTCTGGCTAGTGGCAATAAGATCTAATTCCCCTTTCTGTATGAGCACCAGGTAATTTTACATCTAATCCCTCAAGTGGTTCTTTCTCCAGCTTTGTACTGTCTTCTCATATACATGTACTGATCAGTATTCTCCTTAATACCTATGAGGCACCCTAAGCAGATATATGGAGTTCTCGCTCCATGAAACTCCCTTTCTTATCCAATACTATATCCTGTGATCACTAGCTACCTTGGTTTCCCTTGGCTCTTAGCTCTAGCTCCTCATTACAGGGAGTTCACCAGTCTCCTCTTCAGTTCCCTCTCCCTGTACCATGGCCTGGAAACTCTCTCAAGGCAGTAAGCTTGGACAATCATAGAATTCTCCTTACTTGTTTCCCATCTCTCAGGGACAACTGTCCTTCATTGGCTTATGTATAGTGTCCTAAAAACCATTGTGTCATATGTTTTGTTTCATCTTTTGGTTGTTCCAAGTGGGAGGTAAAATTCAGTCCCTATTATTCCATTTTGGTCAGAAGCAGAAATCTCTACATGACATATTTTTAAGTTTAATCTGTATTATTAACATTTTCCCCGTTATTTTTTCCAGTTTTTTGAAGTATAATTGGCTATCATTTATTTAGTTTGGATCATCAATAAAACAATAAATTCAGCCCTGACTTCCAGAATTTTGCCAATTTGTGTGGTGTAAATACTGCCACTATGGACAATTTTAAGCTACTAATATATGTAATATTTCCACTGTAGAGATACAATAGATGTAAATAACCTGAAGAGGATAGATTACAGTAAAATAATTGCAAAGTGGTGAGTTTTAAGTATTACTTTGTTTTGAACATAATTTATTTAATTGTAAGTTGATTTAGTTTAATTTCTAATGATAAGTATGTTTAGAAACCAGCTTACAAAACTCCTAAAAGTTCAACAATCAGCTCTTGTGAGATAGTATGAGCCATATGCAGCAGTCTACTGGCTCTATTTCTGGAGATTAGAATCTCTGTGGAAGCATCACTATAAATTGGCATGCAAGGAGCAGAATTCATCTACCTCGGGACATGCGTGTATGCTCCCTGCTTACCAAGGATGTTAGGCCACTGTAACAAATACATAAAGCAAGTATTTGGCCACCTTCTTTTTCTCCAGAACAAAAATAGCTATCCTCAAAATTCTACCATTAAAAATTCATTACCATGAATCTTGAAGTCTTTTTCATTTCTAAGAATCCCCTTTTAAAATGGTAAGGTATTTCCTGTGAGTGGTAATACTTTAAGCCTTTTAATCTGCTAACACCTTTATGGATATCAGGCAGCTAAGTGAGAAAAAGGTCCTCTGTCATTGGCCCATAGGCTCTCTGATTGGCGCAAGCAGTGTGGCTAGATGTGGGAGGGAAATTAAACAAGGAAAGTAGGAATACACCCCAAAACTGCCCTTTTCATAGTCTTTTAGAAGGTCAGCTCCAGCATATCCACATGTGGGACTGGGTTTTAAATACTAAAAAAGTAACTGGTGCCTTCTATCTTGGCCTGACTACCCACTAGCAGGGAATGCCATATGAGCTGCTGACTGTTCTGTCTTGCCCATCCCTTCCACAACATTCTTATATTGGGAAAAAATTGAAAGAAGCAAAATACAACAAGATCATCCACAAACTTCAAAGGTTTACAACACCCTTACAAAATAAAATAAAACACCCTTACAACAGTAGCCATGCAAAAACGTTCAGCAGTTCATGTAAATAGAGAAAAGGAATACTATAATGAGAAACCAGAGAAAAATGAGGAAGAAGAATTTGCTATAGAAACCTGGATTTGTGCTGAAACTGCCATTTTTGACTTGAGTTCAAAATAATATTTTTTCTCACTATTAAAAAACAAAATTATAGGGGCCGGCCCCATAGCCGAGTGATTAAGTTCATGTGCTCCACTTTGGCGGCCCAGGGTTTCACCAGTTTGGATCCTGGGCACGGACATGGTACCACTCATCAGGCCACGGTGAGGCGGCGTAACACATACCACAGGCAGAGGTCCTCACAATTAGAATATACAACTATGTACTGGGGTAAGTTGGGGAAAAAGGAAAAAAAAAAAGAAGAACATTGTCAACAAATGTTAGCTCAGGTGCCAATATTTAAAAATATATATATATATATATAGGGGCCGGCCCAGTGGCACAGCAGTTAAGTTCGCACGCTCTGATTCTCGGCGGCCCAGGGTTTGTCAGTTCAGATCCAGGGTGCAGACATGGCACCACTTGGCACGCCATGCTGAGGTAGGCATCCCACATACAAAGTAGAGGAAGATGGGCACTGATGTTAGCTCAGGGCCAGGCTTCCTCAGCAAAAAAGAGGAGGACTGACAGTAGTTAGCTCAGGGCTAATCTTCCTCAAAAAAAAAAAAAAATATATATATATATATAAATGGGTGATGTATAATAACCCATTAATAAATATGTAGAATGTATGCAACCTTTTTAACACCTTTGAAGAAGAAGAGTGCAAAGAGCCAGATCAAACTGCTCTAACCATAAATCAGCAATTTCTGTGCAAAGGTATTAGGCCCATCCACCAAGCAGGTAGTGCAAATTCCCAATAGATACAGAGTTTCAAGGGGCAGAACACTACTGACTCCTCCCCTCAATAAAAAAAAGTATCACGGCCAAGTCACCTGATAAAGCCGCCTCACTTCCTCCTAATCCCAAACCCAGGGCAACCTCTCAATGCCTACCATGAGTGGAGTCTATTAATTTAGATATATCACGCAAGAAACAGGTGGAACTGGCTTGCCCCCATCTGCACAGCTGTTGGAATGTGAATGCTACCTCCTTCAGAATTTTTTTAAACATTCATCTATGTAAAAAGGTAAATGATAACTCTGTGAGGTTGGCGAAGGTAAGTGAAAGAATTGAATGAGACAATGTATGTGAAAGAACTGTGTAGTCATAAAGCTCTAGATAAATATCAGGGATCTTTAAACTATAGAGAGATCATAAAAGCTTTCTGACTCCTGAGACACATTTCATCTGAGAGAGACAACGGCCAAGAGGAACTTTGTTAATGGGAGGTACAAAATCCCAAGATACTAGTTTTCAAGGAAACTTGAGGATAAATAAAAGTCCCATACTGCACAGTAAGTTGAAAACATAACTTACTGAACTGCTTACTATAAGAAGTAGTACAGTATGACTAATTATATAAATAACACTAATAAAAGGTTCTAGTCAACTGGAACTCATCAAATTATGGTTCCACAAATCACTGATGTTCTTCAGTTTGCACCGAGGAGTTCTGTCACAAAAATCCATCTGTGGCAGTCATTCCTTGGTTTGCAGAAACAATAGTAGTTCATGGGGAAAATTTTTTCCATTTCAGGTTTTTCAGTCACAAATTTCTCTTAAATCCTTTAGTGACTGCCAGCAGGCAGCAAAACAAATGAACCTGTAGAAAAAGGACACCTAGGAAAAGCATATCAGGTGTCATTGATGGTTTGCTTTTATTCTTTCACGGTCACATACCTGTGCCTGCACTTAAACTACTAGGAAAATTTCCTTGTAGTCCTCTGATGGCATGAAACATACTGTCTCAGTCTCACCTCTAAGAGCCACTTCCCCACAAGGGAAAGTGGTGGCACGAAGGGCCGGAGACGCAAAACAGGGCAATTGTAACCTGAGGCAGTCTTGGAGGCAGAAAATTCTGAAAAGAAGCCAAATTGTGCAGCCAAGAAGAACACAATTCACAGCAGCATTTAATCCAGAGAGCAAGGTTTGGATAGGACAGGTAGCTGGGAGGATAGACAGCATGAGGGAACAGGGCTTGAGTTGAAGCAGATGAAAGATATGCTGAGCAGAGCTTTTGTATATGTTAGTATGCCCCTCTATTTACATGGTGCTCAGTCCATATTGAGGTAATGGATGCAAATGCTTAAAGAAGTTGGATTAAATTTATAGCAATATCTTATAAGGTCCACAGATAGCATCCTGACTTCCAGGTGGTCTGCTATCCAGACTTGAGAAGCACTAAAGTTAACTTGTGGGTGACAGAGCCGTAGGGGATCATCAATAGACAATAGAGATCTCTGGCAATAGTCTTAATTCTTGGAAGGGGCACAATGGAGAAAAACCCTCTCTTCTGAGAACATATTCCTTGGAGTCTCTATTAGAGGAAAGATCTTGGGCTGGTTCCCCTTATAATGGAAATCACTAGGATTCATTAAAATAGCTCTGAGCAGTATGACTGCTATTTCTGGGAATCAACACTCAGGAGGCTGTAGGCCCAGACCTCAGAAAATCAGTGCAACCCCATCTTTGAGTCCTGTTCTATTCTACCTTAGGAGTACAGGCATATAACGTTGGACTGACCCCAGTGTCAAAGGGAAACATGATTCACTCTATATTATCTAGTTTGTTTCATCTGTAAAAACAGCCCAAACTAGTAACTGAGTCTCAAACTTCATTTCTTTTAGCCTGAATCATCCAGTTTGCCTGTCTTTAGGGAGTAAACACACGGCTAACTGATAAATGTGTCCCACACTTGGTGCTGTATCTAACCCAGTGGTCTCTAAGTATCATAAATGTTGCTAATACTGTGAAAACATTTACTGTTTTAATAAATAGTTGATTTTAGGGCTGACATTGATCTTAGCAATCACCTTTTCTATCCCTGTCATTTCACAGAAAAGGAAACAGACATTCAGAAGAGGTAATGTGACTTGCTTGAGTTCATACTTCAAATTAGTGGAAGAGCTGAGACTAGAATCCAGGCCTCCTGTTCCCAGGACACTATTCTTTAAACTGCACCATTTACACATAGAGGTATGTACCATTATTTCCAGGTAAGTCCCCTGCCAAATTTTTAACTTTTTTTGAAACTGTACTATTGTAATATTTCAAGTTCTAATCTTGAATGTCGGGGCAGGCAGGAAGGTGGAGAGCTAACCATCTTTGCAGGAAATATATCCTATACAAAAGTAAAACCCTCTCAGTAACAACAAGGGTGACCTGGTTTTAGAGATCCCAATATGCAAAATGAGAAAGTCACAAAAAGTCACACTGAAGGAGACTGCATTATAAGAGAATACTCAGCAGAACTTCTTGAGTGCATTTAAGCATTTAAGATCATTACTTGGCAGAACCCTCTGGGGCAGAGAAACAAAGTTAAAATGCTAAGAGCCACTGCCAAATGAAGACCAAAAAGAAGGCAAAATAAGCATCTTTGATGTAAAATGGAAGTCATGAAGAAATAGAATCTGTTTGACAGAAACTTAGTTTACCCTGAAAATATCAGTGTCCTAGTATCCAGCCTAGTGAAGAGCCTTTCTCAATCACATGGATAGCAGCAAGATCACTCTTCTAGTCATGCATGCTTAAACTTGGATATCATACTGAGGTTCTCTCTATATGTCATTCCCTAGAGTCTATTACCAAGCCCTGTTTTTTCTTCCTTTGAAATAACTTTAAAATTCTTCTCTTCTTCTCCATTCTGACTACCAGCATTCTAGATGGGACTTCGTTATCTTATGGCAAAAGTCCCGTTGCCTCCTACTCTAATTTACAATTTGCACAGCCATAGGAGTCACCTTATAATATATAACTTTCTTGATTACATCCTGTTTAAGAAGCCAGAGTGATACCCAGATGCCTATGTGATCAAGTCCTAGCTTCTCAACCAGATGCTCAATATTCTCCAAAAAACAGGCCCATCTTACCTACCCCTACATACTTCCTTCTCTTCTCAAACACTGCCACACTCAAGGCAGTGCCAATTCCCATCGTTGGCTTCCATCCCCACCCCACATATAAGAGAAGTGTTCTCCCAACTTCCACATCTACCTATCTAAATCGTACCTAGCTTTTAAGATCCAGCTCAGGTTCTACCTCTTCCACCTATCTTTCCTAAACACCTCCCAATAACTTTAGCTAATCTTGGTCTTACAATTTTAATTAGTGCCCACTATTCTCAAGGTACTGATCTCCTCACTTCTTTAGAAATAGAAAAAAACTAGCAAGTAAAAGTTGGGACCCATTTAATAAAAATCCTTCTCCGAAACAGAGGAATGGACAAATGTTCATATAGCCCCTGATGTCTGTTACTGTGGAGAGCGCCAGGACATTATTTGAAGGTTTCCCCAATCTTTCTTCCTCCCAAGATGAAAGTAACATCTGTTGTAACATCCTAAATGTACTTTATTCGTGACATGTGACCAATTTGTTACAGAACCAGAGATTCTTCGAAATATATGAGAGGGAAGGGACTTTGGATCATCAATTATACATTATACATGAGAAAACTGAGCTCCATTTCTGTTTCCTGGACTTACTGATATTTTTCCCCTTTAGAAAGCCACTTCTGGTAAATTAATAAAACAGTTTAGAAGGAAGTTCAGCAGTATGTATATTTAATAATGCTGCTTGGTTTTCACCCAGTAATTTGAGTTCTGGGAAGCTATACTAAGCAAATAACTTTGAATATATAGAAAAATCTTTATATACAAATATATATATATACACAAATATATACAAATACAAATATATACAAAAATATCTATCACAGCTTTATTTATAACAGTCAAGATAAATGGAAGAAATCATACATATCCCCAGACTGGAAACTAGTTAAGTACATTACAGTATACCTGATCTGACCCAATGAAATATTATGTAGCCATTTAGCATGATATTTTACCATATGATGGTGTAAAACATACTGTCTTAATCTCAGCCAGCAGAGCCACTTCCTCACAAGGGAAATGGGTGGTGGGAAGGGCAGAAGAGTCAAAGACTGTTATAATGGGTAATGATGTGTGGGAAATTCTTGCAAAATATTAAGAAAACTGGATAAAAAAATGTCAATCCAGGATGAACACGTTTAAAAATTCATGGGGAAAAACAAGAATGGAATTATTTATTTCAAACTACATTGTGTGATTTTTTTAAATGATTATTCATGATTTGCTGATTTAAGTAAAAATTTTGTAATTTTTATTTTAAAATAATTTCAGACACATAGAAAAGTTGTAGGAACAGTACAACAGTCCTGTGTACCCTTCACACAGATTCCCTAATTGTTAGCATAAAAAAACTTTTAAAGAAGTCCCTCTGCTCCATTTAACGAGGGTTTGGCCAATAAGCTCCTATGTGAGCATTTCCACTTTAGATTCCAAAGTGAAGGGGAAACAGAAAGGGGACAGACACTCATTTCTCATGGCCTGTGGGATCTGGGATGAAAGCCAGCCCTAAGACAAATAATCAGATGCAAGACTTTTAATCAATTACACTGCCTATTATTTGCTGTAATCAGTGTCATCCAATTCTGCCTTTCCCTTGACTACTTCAAGGAACATCATGCAGACAAAGTGATAATGAGTGTTGAGCAACAGATTTAAACACCCTCATGCAGCTGAGTGACTTGAAGCAGACAAATATATATTTTTCGCTCATGTCTTCATTCTAGTGAAGATGAAAAGCATTGATTTAATCCAGCCTCCAGCGGTTCTACATAACTCCCCTGGACATCAAATAAAAGTGAATAAAGAGTTGAAGAGCTTACAAAAATAAAAACATAACATGTCCATAGCCATAAAATTGTATTATGCAAATGAAAGTACCCACATTTTAACATAGATACCGTACATTTCCTCCCTAAATTTGGATGAGTCTTCTGTATTATAGACATTATAGAGGTAGAAGAGTCATTTGGGTCATCTAGCACTATCCAATAGAACTTTCTGTAATGATGAAAATGTTCTATATCTGTGCTGTCCAATATGGTAGCCATGAGTCACCTGTGGTTATGAAGGGCTTGAAATGTGACTGGTACAACCGCAGAGCTGAATTTTTAAATTCATTTAAATTTAAATAGGCACATGTGGCTAGCAGCTACTGTACTGGATAGTGGAGATCTAGCCCCTCCTCCACTCTAAGTAGAAATTTCCTCTCCATTCCCCTGGTCTATTTATACTCTCCCTGATGATCACATCCACTTCCAACAGCTTTAGTTAACACTTACAGTGATGGTACTCAATCTTGGCTGCATGTTACATTCACCCAGAGAGCTATTTTTAAATGTCAATGTGCGGGTATTTTTTAAAAGCTCCTCAGGTGATTCTAATGTGCAGCCAGGGGAGAACTTTGAAGAGTATGCTGATGAATTACAATTCTATACCAACAGATCTCAATGTTGAGTTCCACATGCTGACTAGATCTCTCCTTCCTGATGTCCAAAAAAAACCCTCAAACACCAACATATCCAAAAGGGACATCATTATCTCCTGTTGTCCTCATCCAAATCCTTCAAACTGTAATTGCTTAACTTACCTCTGCCATTTTGCTATTTGTTTTCTACATGTCTTATTATTTTTTGTTAATTCCTTCATTGCTACCTTCTTTTACATTTAATTGATTTTTTGTAGTGTATCATTTTGATTTACTTCTCATTTCCTATTCTACATATGTTTGTAGTTATTTTCTTAGTGGTTACTCTGGGGATTACAATTAACATCTTCAAGTTATAGCAAGTTATTTGAATTAATAATAACTTAGTTTCGATAGTATAAAAAATTCTATTCCTATGCAGCTCCATCCTTCTGCCTTTATGCTGTTATTGTCACAACTTACATCTTTATATATAATATGCCCATTAACATAAATTTGTAATTTTTGTTCTATGCATTTATCTTTTAAATCATATAGGAAAAAAAGACTTACAAACTAAAAGTACAATAAATATTGACTTTTATATTTAGCTATGTAGTTATCTTTACCAGTGTTCTTTATATATTCATATGGCTTTGAATTACTATCTAGCCTGAAAGAATCCCTTTAGCATTTCTTGTAGGGCAGGTTTACTGGCAATGAACTCCTTCAGCTTTTGTTTATCTGAGAACATCTTAATTTCACCTTCATTTTTGAAGAATAATTTCGCAGGATATAGAATTTTGGTTGAGAGGTGTTTTTTTTCCTTTTGACACTTTAAATATATCACCCCACTGCCTTCTGACTTCCATGGCTTCTGAAGAGAAATTGGCTGTTAATTTTATAGAAGATCCCTTGTATGTGACAAGTCACTTCTCTCACTGCTTTCAAGATTTCCTCTTTGTCTTTTGACAGTTGGATTATAATGTGTCTTGATGTGGAATCTCTTTGAATTTAGGCTTCTTGGAGTTTTTTTGATCTTCCTGGATATATAGATTCATATATTTCATCAAATTTGGGAAGTTTTTGACCATTCTTTCCTCAAATGTGCTTTCTGCCACTTCCTCTTTCTCCTCTCCTTCTGGGACTCCCATTATGCATCTATTTGTACACTTGATGGTATCTCACATACCTCTGAAGTGTTATTCATTTCTACTCTTTTTTACTTTCTGCTCCTCAGACTGGATAATTTCAATTGATATATCATCAGTTTCATTGATTCTTTCTTCTACCTGCTCAAATCTGCTGTTCAGCATTTGGCAAACACTGGGACGTCTCCTCCAACTCTGAGAAAATTCCAGTGGGGATAAAACAAAGGCAATTCGCTGAACTGATCCATCTTTTTCATGCAGCAATTCAGTACATATGTATTGACCAATCAAAACATATAATCATGGAGCCAGCCTGGTGGCACAGTGGCAGTTAAGTTCACATGTTCTACTTCGGTGGCCCAGGGTTTGCCAGTTTGGATCCCAGGTGCTGACCTACACACCACTTGTCAAGCCATGCTGTGGCAGGCATTCCACACATAAAGTAGAGGAAGATGAGCACGGATGTTAGCTCAGGGCCAGTCTTCCTCAGCAAAAAAAGAGGAGGATTGGCAGCAGATGTTAGCTCAGGGC